TTTATGTGTATATATATATATATATATATATCTGTGTGTGTGTGTGTGTGTGTGTCTTAATAATATGTCTTAATATGCATTAATTTTAATTTCAGTTTTAGTTATTTTAATACATCAAGTCAAACTAAATTAAAATGAGAAATGTTGCCTTTAACTAAAATAAAAACGTTTTTTATACTTTATTTTAATTTAACATTTATATTATTTTAAGTAACAATTTTTTATGTAAATTTTACGTTATGTTACTTTTTTTACAAAAATGTGAGGGGCGTACTCACTTCTGTGAGATACCATATATATATAGAAGACAAGAAATGCAATGAGACAAAACTAGATCTTTACATTTTCTGAGATGCAAAATGTACTACCATGAAAGGATGTCGTGGGTGGTTGCCAGGGTGTTGCTATGCAAAAACTACAACTATAAAATAATAGTGAAATAATGTTGAAATTAAGATATAAATATTAGATTAAAAACCTAAACAAAATTTAGAAATCATACTTTTTCTAGAAAAAACTAACTAAATTACTAACTAAATAAAAACTAAACCTGACCTAAATAGTAATATTTAAAAAGAAAATGGTTAGGTGACACGATTAAACGTCTAAACGATTAAAAACATTGATTAATTAATTAACATTGGTAATTAAGCTGAAATAAAATAAATTAATAAAATATAAATATTAGATAAAAAACTTACTCTAATTAGTTGAAATTAAAAAAAACAAAAATGAGTAATATAAAAATAGTAATATAAAAAACGAATAAACAAATAAACGAATGTAACATAGTATAAAGAAATATAATATATTTTATTACAACTGTAATCATTTCATTACAATTTTAACAATTACAATATTCCAATTTTTAGTAATTTTGTTATGTGCTATTTGTTTATATATATATATATATATATATATATATATATATATATATAGGCTTAATTTAATTTTTTGTTTTAGTTTTAGTTTTTATTTATTTCCAGATAGCAATTTTAGTGATTTAACATCAATTTATTTGCAAAGCATCTTTTTTTTTTTTAATGTTTTTGTTCAGTTTAAGTTTTTCATCTCATTTTAAATTTTATTTTAACGTTATTTCAATTAACAAAAGTGTATTTAATGGTTTTAGTTAATGATAATAACCCTGCATTGAAGAATAAATCCAGACAGAAATTAAACTACATTTATAGGGACAACCTAAATTATAGGGCTACAAAACTTACAACTCATATTCGTTATTAAATTTATGAAAAATATTTGAGTTCATACTGAAATCAAGCACAAAGTGGAGACACTTCTGTTTGCTCTCTATTTAGTCACACTCCTATCTAGATGAAATAACTGACATGATAACAGGATCTTATTAGTGCTTTTTCCTTTGAAAACCCTGATGTGATTTAAATCTACAGCTGTAAATACACCCCATTCTGTGCTTTTTGCATTAGCATATGTGCTCGGTGAAGGGATTTACAGACACAATGGTGTGAAGTGGGTCAGTGGCACATCCATAACAGGTCTGTGTGTGTCGACAGCGGAAGGAAGAGCACAAGGCTCAGTGGATCTGGGTCAGTCGGACCTCAGGCATGTGTGGCATGCGTCTCTACTGTCTATGTGGATGGCAACAGAGCACAACATGGCACAGGGCGCCTGAGATCTGCACACACAGGCACATGACGGTCAGAGAGCAGCGGAGCAAAACAAGGAGACTGAGAGACTCAGAGAGACCAACAGAGTGCATATTTCCTACCATTTAAACTTGAAAATGCCACAAATACCTATTGCTAATAATTTTATTTTAATTCCTGCAGGCAGTCAACTCATTCACAGGAAACTGTGTCATTTGTGCCCTATTTGTGTTCCAATGACTTGCTGCTGCTATAATTAAGAAGATACTGAACTGATTCACAGTATTTGACAGATTTAACAATGTTTATTAAATAATGCAAAAGAAACAAAACATTTTATTTAGCTTTTTATCTGAACATCAGATCATTTGCATCTACTGTACCACATCAACTCATTTGATTGAAATTCAGATTCTACACTGAAAATAATGGTTTGACATTTCTGGCATCATATTTAAGGCAGTTACATAATTATAAATCTTTTCTGATTGGTTCAAACATGCTTAATAAACACTCGAACCTCCACAGAGTTCAACTTTGGATGAAAAAACTATCGATTAGTTTTATAGATTTTTTTTTTCTTGGCATAAAGAACAAACAATATTGACTGTGATTAATGTGGTGTGATTTGTGATGTGATCATTATTAGCCATTTATTATGACCTTCAACACTGTTTAATTCATTTAAAAGTTAAATACTTCTATTTATCAAGGATGCATAGAAGTGAAGTCACAGTAAAGACATTTATAATGTTACAAAATACTACAAACTTTTTGAACTACTACCATCATTTACTCAATTATCCATTCAAATTATATTGGTCAATTTTTATGATTACTTTAAGAATAACATTCCTGAAAATTACAGCCACAAGTAGCATCGTTTCCTGAGAATGAGGCAGTTATATGTCTGATGGAGTAGGAATAAACAGCATTAACTGTGTATACCTGATATTTTAAACAAAGCTGAAATACTGTAAGCGGTTCCTGCCACTCTAAAGATCTCAGCATTTCAGTAGCCCTGAAAAAAAAAAACAGCCCGTCTACTTCAAAATAACAAACTATGCAGTAAATCACTGCTAACTAAATCATAATACCTGTTTCTACATGTCTAATACTGAGCATCTGTACTATTCTATAGCCTTTGTAATGTGACGAGACTAAACGCAACCCTTAAGATATGTTTCAATCCAAATCAAGTACATTCACAGCACTAGAAATGCAAAATAGAACAAGGAACAGCAATGGAATTGCATATTTCTCTTGGGGTTCTTCAGAAGTATCCAATGGAGTTGCAACAATCTGTCTCGCAGATCAATATGCAGGATAAACTGGGTTACCCACATCTGCATTGACACACACAGTACTTCAGAGGAGTGCTCGAATCGTCCAAACACCATTAATATTTTAAGAACCCTCTGCATCTCTCCCACTCAATGAAGACAGACATTTGCACAAACGGAAACAGTCAGAAACAACTCATATCTTGATATAGCTGAGAGATAGTAGGCCAAGACTGACTTCACGGCTAAAAGTTGTTCTTCATTAGACAGCTCATAGCACAAAAAAACGATTCCCAGTCCAACAACCTCACAGCCTAAATGGTTGCCCCGAGTACAGACACAACAAACACAACAACGGCAATCGTATTAAATCACAGCAATGCCTATAAGCGCTATAGTACATCATGTGGTAATTGGTCTCCTACTGAGACGCTTCATGTTTGTTTGGTGTGTGATTGTTGAGATTGATCATTTAGAAATAATCAGCATCACTAAACACTTCAGCGCATTCAGGGCACAACGAGACATTATATTTTATAGGATATATATGAGAATATGCAAACATTTTCAACAGTTGTTTGTGTTTTTCATGGTGTTTTTATCAGCAAGCATCCAAACCCTAAGATGAGTAAAAATCAGATAAGCCGCATTAAGGGATTTTATCAATCTACATTAAAGAGGCTCTTTAATGTAGGTTTAATGGAAAGAGCATCCAAATGTACATATGCATGCTTAAACCATGTGTGTTATGTGTGTGGACGTGAAGGCACAGTCGGCACAGTGACTTTGTTTACATGTGCAGTGACCTACATCCATCCATCCACATGTTTTGGCAGCTGCCTTCAGCAGCATAGCCATGAATTGTCAACGGGAAATCAAATGAAATGTTTTTACTTTCTTAATGCACATTTCTGAATATAATGCTTACTTTTACAATGAAATGTAAGCATTTGGCAGATG